TGGTTAAAATATGTAGCTCTTGTCAAAAAATATAAAGCATGGAAACAGCTAGTTTTGGTTAGGACAGAATCCTCCAATTTATACGTACTGTTAAAAAAAAAACAGTAATTGAATCTAAATATTAGTAGAGCATTTAAAATAAAATCGTAGCAGAAGTGTTCCAGCAGTGACTTGTTCCTGACACCCAGCTGTCACTGTGACTAAGGGAACATCAATTTCATTTCAAATATTAGATATTATCTATCCATTGTTCATAAATGTTTCTGGGTGTTTTGCCATTTTTTTTTGTGTGAGGGAGACCGTCCTTACATCAGACTTGATGCACATCCTTTACTTGCTGGAAAAGATAATGAATGCTCAATACCCCGGGAGATCCAATTGTGCAATTTACATCTTCAGATCCTGGGATGTTGCAAACAAACATGGAAAGTTATCATTGAACAGCAATTTCATCATCAATTTCTCACATGCCCAATTTGACAGGAGTTTATCCATGTTTCTCATTTTAATCTGCATCCTGTTCACGACTAAGGCAATCCACTGGGGATGGATTTTCTATGCATAAAGATTCTGAAGTGTAAGGCAGAGAAAATTGCAAGACCTGAAAGAAGCTGGCTCTAAAAAACTAGCCCTTTTAGAAAAGTAATTTAAAATGTTGCTAATGATCAACGTAGAGGCCATGGAGTTAATGTTCCCTCTCTGGCCATGCATTGGATAGGTGTGAGAGCAGACAAAATAGGTTTGGATGGCTTGCCCACTGTTTTTCCACCCACATCATTGAGCACACCCTAAGAACACTTTATGTGGCTGGGTGCCATAATTGGCAGCCCCTTTGTCAAATTTAAATGAAGAATTAAAAGTCTTTAGGCTTGGTAGCAAGCCTATTGATTTGAATAACAGGCTGCCTTTGTCAAAGTATGGTTGTCATTCTATAAAGGACATCAGTGAACCAGAGGGGCTTTTACAACAAAAAATCCTAATAGTACTATGGTTATCACTACTGAGGCGACCCTTTTAATTCCAGACATTATCAACTGAATTTAAATTTCATGAGGTACTTTCTCCTCTGAGAATTTTATCATTTGTGCAGTACAGAGACACCACACAACCAATGAAATACTGTGAAACTGTTCAGATGAAGGAAAACAAAAAAGACAATTTTCACACAGAATGATCACACAAACAACAAATCCAATGAAAAACTCACAACTGGGATTTTGTTCAAAGGATGATTGACGGTCGCCACATTTGTCTAGATTTCTATGGTCAAATCTTAGAATAGGGATAGGCCTATAACCTTCCAAAGCTACCATTCTGATGCTTAATGTTTAGCTAGTCAGATCCTATAGAGCAATACTAATGTGACTAGATTGAATTAGAGCTACTAAAGATTTATTTATACATTTCATGAAGGAACACAGAGACATCAAGACCATTCAGAATGGTCTGAGCATCAGATATCAGGCCAGAATAATCTTCGATGTTAAAAACAGCTTGTGAGTGATGCCAGCCAGAACAACTCAGTCAGCATTGCTATTAGGGGTTCCAGTGTCAATTACTGTAAATATTCAACTGGCCCCTGAAGAATTTGTATAATCCTAATTGGAGAATGGATGTTTAAATCATCAAAGAATGATAAAAAGATTTGTGCAGCAGTTTACTGTCATTGTCAATCAGCATCCTATCACATCCCGCTGCTTTCAAACACTTTCATTCCACGAAACTTCTCCATAGTTTATTTATACTTCTCAGCTTAATATAAGCTATCCTGGTGTCTATAATCGGAATAAATAGTGCACACTTGGCCCCATTAACAACAGTTTGTATTTCTGAAGCAGTACTTCTGCTTCCTTTCCTGCTCTGTTTTTCCAGTGTTAGGTTATCAGTGTTAGAAGTTGCTTACTCTAATGTGCTGTAATCTGAGAACAACAGTAACTTGACTGAGAACAGCATATAGTGAATCTCTCAAGCCTGTGTCATCAGAGCATTCTTCTATAGTGCTGGAACCTGAACAAAATACGCTAGGCCGGAGAAAAAGCTGTACAGTTTACACCTTTATTATGTCAGATCTTTCTTTAGCATCTCTTGGGATGATAAAGTCACCCAACTCAGAGGTCCTGGAACATGCTAATTCCATCAGCATACATGCAGTGCAAATCGTCATCTTGGAAGACAATTCAATGCCAATGAATCTCAGAAGATATTCCCACAAATTGGTGGGATTGACAAACATTCCTTAGCATTTAGATGTACTCCTTATTTGTGTCCAAGCCATTATGAATTTTCAACAAAGCAAAAGTGACAAGGCAATGCTAAGGTTGACTCCTGGACAAACTCCAGAGTAACGGAAGGAGGAGGACCTAGAGCAAATTATTTCATGCTGTATTGATTTGAAAGAAGGTGGAGGTTAGCCACATTTCAAATTTGAACATGGAGCCAGAACACTTTGGAAACTGAAGCAGATCTAATTTACATATGCATGAGCAGAGGCACCCATTCATGTTCTCAAAATGTTTTACTATTCCCTCTGGACGATTAGAGATGGGCAATAAATGAACACCCATATCTTGTCAATAAAAAAAACAATAATTTCCAAAATGTAATTATATTTTCGTGAAAAGGAAAGCTTTGCAAGCCTATGGCCAAAGACAGAAAAAGGCACTAACTGGGCATCAGTGCAACACAGGCACAATGGGTTGAACAGGTTTCTTCTGCGCTGTCTGATTCTACAGCATGAATGTTTCACTTCTGCGTCAGGAGCACAGACCCGTAGCAATATCCCCGCACCTCAAACCCACGGCCCAGGTTAATGGACCCTGGCAGCTTGGATTTTCTAGCAGTCATGAAGTACAACCCCAAAAACAGTGCAGAAGTGGGATGAACAAATGACCTGTCTCAGTTTCCCTGCACTGCGTCAAACTTTCATTCAAGACCATGATAAGACATAAAGTCTTCTTCCAACTCTCACCCCTCATAGAAACATAGAAGCACAGAAGACAAGAACAAGAACAGGCTATTTGGCCCTCTGAACCAGTTGATTTTTTGGCTGATCATCCAACTCAATTGCCTGTTCCTGTTTCTCTCCCAAATCCTTTGACTGCTTTAATTCCGAAGTTATATGTTCAACTCCTTCCCCAAATCATACAATATTTGGCCTTAACTGTTGTCTGTTGTAGTAAATTCAACAGGCTCACCATTATCTGGGTGAAAAAAATTCTCCTCACCACAGTCCCGATGGTTGACCCAGTATCCTTAGACTGTGACCAGCCAAACCTCCAAACATCTTGTGGCCCATCTCTTTCATAGGCTGTGCATCCCACCTCAGTAATGACATTTTGCTGTGTGATTGATGATAAACAATGGGCTGGATATTAAGTTTTGTTTTCACCTAAGTGTGAGTTGTATTGAAGTTGGCATAGCCATTCCTGACACGAGGGCAAGAGAGTATTTTCACCAAATCTGACCAAACTTGCCATTGCCATCAAGTGGAGAGTAGCACATCCAATTTCCATCTCTTCTTACCTTGTGCCAGTTTTGGAACAACTCACTAATCTCTAGAAATCTTGGAGTTGCCCTTCATCCCTGGCTCTTTGCACCATCTTTAAAAGGTTACTATGCACCCAGACAACCACTGTCAGCCCAGAGCTGCACTGAATGGTTCCTGACCTGTATACCAGGCTCAGCAGATGGGGAAATTAGTGCCTCGCTTTCTCGGCATGGTCCAAGATTTCCTGGACGATGTGGTGCAGAGGCAGGACTTTCTCATCCCTGGGTCCTGCAGTTGGAGGCCATGAAACTAGACAATGCCAGCCTGGTCTGAGGTTGTCACCTTAGGTTGAGCAGTCTCAATAGACTGGAAAAATGCCCAGCACTGTAGGAAGAAGGCCAATTACCTCCTCCACTTCATATGGTGTATATGACATTATCATCTCTCATGCCATTTTATCTCTGTTACCATACTCACCTCCCATCAAGGCCCATGCTTAACCACTCACACTATTGTCTGCAATACCTTCCCTCACTCACCCCAACTTGCGATGCCACTTAACCTGCACACCCGACTCACTTGCTTGCTTGCTGTCTCTTCGCCTCCACTAACTGTGACACCTTTCTATCTGCCACAATTCCTGTCTGTCTCATTCCAGGAGCAAAACAAGCCACAACAGGGCAGAAAGAGTCAAGATTGGTGTTGTGCTGCCAGTCATCTGGCTCCTCAACCCTTATGAGGAGAGGATTCTGACTCTGACCACACTTACTGGGTCAGGATTCCCTGACCTAAGGCTATCCTGAGGCCTGCTGACATGCATAACAAGCTTCCAGAGTCGCATGTAGACCAGTTTGGGTAAGGACAGTAAACTTCCTTTCCTATTGGGAATTAGTGAATCAGATGGGTATTTTTCACAACAATCAACTGTGGTTACGTGGCAAGTTCGGTAGTCCAGAGTTTGTTGAATTAAAATTTCCCCATGCGTCAAGGTGAAATTTGAACCCATGTCACCAGAATATTGGCTGAAGATTCTGGATTACTAGTCCAGTGACATTACCATTACTTTCCCATAATAAATATTAGAAGGTTATGAAATTACTAGTGGATACTGATTGTTTACTCAAATGTTTTATGATTAACTATTAGTTACATAGGGACTATTAGTGAGTTATTAAACATTTAGACCTTTTTTTTATTTATCAGGGATATTAATTTTTCCATTGCGCTTTGATTCTTAATCAGAAAATGAATAATGGAGGGCAGTGTAGGTCTATCAACACAGGAATTACACTCTATCATTTAGCAACAGCCACAGAAAAGGAAATATGCAGGGTACAGGTGCAATATAATTCTCATTTTACTGTCTTGTGTTGAAATGTGGAATTATACCCAAATACCAATGCTTTCTCCATGTAACTTTTCTCCAATACACAGACACAACTGGATCCTGAGCAACAACTTGCTAATGACTTCGCCTACCAGCCCTCCCAGTTTAACAAATAATTTGTCTTACCTTTTCACCTTTCTCCCATGAATCATAGCTTATTGTACCCTGGAATTAAAATAAAATGTTGTCAGGAAAGATTCCTCTTACTGCTATCAACAATGTAAACGTAAAAATTTATACCAGTCAAAACTGATTAAATTTTCTTTTTTTCTCAACTATTAACAATCTATAAGGATTGTTGATCAGGTTGCTGAGGTGATTCTCAGTCTCTGGAGGCCTTATTTAAAGGGAAGGCATTTGTCAAACATATGTGCCTATAATTGTCACAGAATTTATCCCACTGTAACTTTGGTTGGGACATCAGCAGAATCTGGAGATATGGCATAGGCGGATAAAACTGTAGCTTCCACCATTTCACCACCTTACCTCTGCTGAAGAGCCCCGTTGTGTATCTCCCCAAGTTTGAATGAACATGAATCGAGAGGGAATAAAATTAGGCAGATGTAGAAAAATGTGGAGCAACAAGAAAATGTTGAAGGAAGATTCTTTAACGAAATTATTTTGATTTGTGAGTCAAAACAAAATTGGAACAGTTACTGATAACATTTTGAGGGATGAAGGGACATTCAACTGATTTAGCAATGTTTTAGAAAAGGAGCAATTCACCTGATGGAATTTGAGTCATACATCACTTATTTGGCAAAGATTTGTGTTATATTTGATGATAATTCTTTTCATGATAGCATCACCACTACATTGAAAAGAGGAGAGAACAGTTACAATGATAATGCCTTTAGGTGCTTTGTATATGTGATATTTTCCAGAATTTCTTGGATATTCCAGTGGCCAAACATAAATATTGTTCTAATCTTACTTTATTTAATTGGCAAGTCATGAAATTTGAACAACTTTTATATATTTTAAGGCGATCCATCTGTAGACATACTTTAGGTAATTGCATTTATTGCAATATCTAGAATGATTGAGAACCATGGGTGCCGCTATTTTATCAGCCGTCACCAGTGCATAATCATTTTACTGACTTTATGTTACTTCAAGCTCTAAGACATAGCAAAGATGAGTATGGTAATTGCATGAAAATGAGACAGTCAGGAATATTTTGTTTTTTTTAACAGAGAATGTTTTTTAAGGTTGGGGTGGAACTGTTCAACAGGAAGGCAGAGATCATTGCATCTCTTAATTAAACAGTTGGAAAATATTTGAAGCAGAGGAAGATGCTGGGCTATGGTGTGTTGGGAGGATTGCGCAATTAGTTTTTGGATTATTTTAACAAGAAGCTGGCGTAGAAATGATGGTTTGAATAGCTTCTGCACACTTCTATCATTTTATTGTTCCTAATCATGCCCTATCATGCTGAAGATTTTGAATATTATAAAACAATGAAGCATATCAATAACTTATTATGTAAGCAGCCCAGTCTGTGTCAGCAACATTGTATCAGACTATTACAAAGTGAACAATCAACAAATCTGTTTTTAGTGGTATTGATTGAAAAAGACAACTTGGCCTCTCTGATCCATTTGAGTTACGTACACGTTATTTCTATTTCAACATTTCACACATTTTTTGACCAGTCTGTTCTTGAACTGATCAGAGAGTAGGTTATATTACACTTGATATTATGTAACGTGACAGAATTAGTCAATGACATCAGAGTAATGGTTTTCCTCAGAATCAGTGACCACAATAATGATTCAGTTATAAATGGCACTGGCGATACAGCATCTCAAATATTGTGTGCAGTTTTGGTCTTCTTATTTAAGGAAGGATGTAAATGTATTGAAGGTGGTTCAGAGGACTTTTGCTAGATTGATACTTGGAATGAAGTTAGGACAGGCTGTGCTTGCTCTCACTGAAGTTTAGAAGTGTGAAGGACAACTTGATTGACGTGCATAGCCATTCTGAATAGCCTTGACAGGTTGGGCATGAAAAAGATGTTTCCGCTTGTGAATCAGTCCAGAACCAAGGGGCACTGTTTAAAAATTTGGGGTCACCTATTTAGGACTGAGGTGAGATGGATTATTTTCTGTCTCAGAGGGTTGTACAAATTTGGAACTTTCTGCATTGGGTGGCAGTGGAGGCTGGGCCATTAAAGGCAGTGTTAAATATGTTCTTATTAGTCAAGGGATCTGAGGATTATCAGGGGTAGATATGAACATAGAATTTCAAACACAAAACAGATCAGCAAAGATCTTATAAAATGGCAGAGCAGGCTCAAAGGGGGTGAATGGTCTACTTTAGCTCAGAATTTGTGCTGTGACAATTTATCTAACACTTTAAAACTAGAGAGATAGAGTGGCAGCTTAGTTACGGGAGCCAACAACAATATGATGTTCCTTTTAGAAATTCTCTTCAATAAATCAATACTTACAGGTTCTCCTTTTTGTCCTTTGGGACCATCAGCTCCCACTCGGCCTGGTTCACCCTGCCAACAAGAGATTAAATACGTGGTTTTAATTTCAAGTCAATAGCCGTGCAACTAATCACAGATTTATTTGTATCAATCATATGCATTTTCCCAGTGGAGTTTGACACAATTACTATCATTTAGGGGAAGGAAACCTGTCTGTACATAAAGAGGCAAGTGGCTTCAATAAGCAAAGTTACTGCAATAAGCAAGCTTTTTCAAATTTAGGTTTGGTATTATTTTCTCATTTTAAAAAAAAAATCCTCCTTTTCTGCTGTGCTTTTCCATATAAGTTGTGTACAAACTCCGCCTTCACCACAGTTTTCCAATGGGAACAAGAAGACTATGCATGTAAAGAGATTTTCCTTTGACTCTTATTGACTTGATTTTTTTTCCTCAGGCTTGTGGGCTGAATGTTGTTTTGTCATCAAGGTTAGCTACTATTAACACTTTGCATGCCTTCAGCTCACCATCTGTATCTAGATCCTGTAATGCCATTTAGAAAAAGAGATGGAACCCAAACTGGACATCACTGGCCTGGTGTGTATATTTAATTTTTCATCAATTTGATGAGGATTTAGTGGAGACTGACAGCATCGTAATTGGTTGGGTTAGATTTATTTGTTTTTTGAGGCTCGGACATACCAGGGCAATCATCTATATTTTGAGGCAGAAACCACTGTGGCGTGCCGACTGGAACTGTCTGCTAGGGAAGTGACTAGGTCTGGTGTCTAGTTTTCAGCATTATTACTAAAATGCTTTCAGAGCCCATGTGTTTAGCTGTGCCCAGTGCAATATTCTGCTCCTTCATGTGATGCAGAACGAACCAAAATTGCTAGACTCTGGGATCTGTGATTATGCTAATCTTAAGAGAAGTGCAATTAATTTCATCTATGGAGCACACGGGTCTGTGTCTGTGCTGTGTGACTCTTTGACTCTATTTGACTAAGGATGCTATCGATCATTTTACTTGCTTTTAGATTCAGGTGCTGAACTATGCTATGGATAAGTGGACCTCTACATCAGATTTCCAGCATATGCTACTGCATATTTAGTTGTGAACAGTTGTGATTATTAATTGACCAAACTAATTTCACATCAGATTATATTAATTGACAAAAGGAACATGCTTACATTTTATCAGTCCACGTTTGACTGCAACTTGGACCTAAGAGGTCAAAATGTTATACCTTTTGTCATTCATTTATGAAATTTGTGTGTCACTGGCTGGGTTAACATTTATTGCCCTTCCTTAACTGTGCAGAGGGTAGTTAAGAATCAACCATATTGGTGTTGGTCTGAAGTCGTATGTTAGTCAGACCAATTTAGGATGGCAGATTTCCATCTATAAAGAACTATGCTGAACCAACTGGTTTTTTTTAATCAACAATTGTTAATGGTCATCATTAGGTTAGCAATTTGTTTCTGATTTAAACTGAATTCAAATTGAAAATCTTACATGATGGGATTCAAACCCATGCCTCATAACATTAGCCTGGGGTTCTGAATCACTAGTCCAGTGATTTTCCAAATTGCCCATTCCAAGAGAAAAATCCTTGATTCAGATACTTTTGGGAGAAATCTTCTTTTATACATTAATAACTCTTCTTCTTCAGGCAGCTCAGGAAATTTGGCATGTCCATAAGGACCCTCACCAACTTTTAAAGATGCAACATAGAATGCATGCTGTCCAGGTGCATAACGGCCTGGCATGGCAACTGATCTGCCAGAACCATAAGAAGCTATAGAAGGTGGTGTACACAGCCCAGACCATCACAGAAGCCAATTTCTCATCCATGGACTCCATTTATATGTCTCATTGCCACGGAAAGGCTGCCATCATCATCAACGACCCAATCCAGCCCGGTTATGCCCTCCTACAACCTCTTCATTCAGGCAGAAGATACAGAAACTTGAACACATGCAGCAGCAGGTTCAAGAACAGCTGTTTCCCTGCCATTATTAGATTGATGAATGCACTCTCTAACTTCAAATAATGCTGATCTTGTTAACGTTGATCTTGCCTAGCACATGCCCTGTGCAGGGTAACCTGTATGCCTTACTCTGTCCAAGTTTGTTTTGTCACCCTGTGATATGTATGTCCTTGCTTACTATGATCTGCCTGTATTGCTCACAAACAAACCTTTTCACTGTACACAAGGCAATAAATCAAATCAATCAATCAATCAAATCGAGCAAAATGCAAGCATAACCTTTAAAATATTTATGAGCCACCTTCTTCACCCTCTCCATCCAAACTTACCTTTGGACCTCTGTGTCCAAAACCAGGTAGACCACGATCACCCTGTCAAAATTACAAGACAAATAAGTTAGAACTCTTGCTGTTCAGAAACAAATATCAGAAACGCATCACATTGATATCGGTAACGGCTCAGAGTCATCATAACAACGATCAGAAAAATAGTGATAAATGCAATTCATCTGGAAAGAGCTGACCAGATATTACAAGGTGTGGAACTGGATGAACACAGCAGGCCAGGCAGCATCAGAGGAGCAGGAAAGCTGATGTTTTGGGTCTGGACCCTTCCTCAGAAATTGGGGAGGGGAAGGGGGCTCTGAAATAAATAGAGAGAGAGGGAGGCGATGATAGAAGGTGTATAGTGGAGCAGATAGGTGGAGAGAAGACGGACAGGTCAAGGAGGTGGGGCTGAAGCCAGAACAGGTGAGCGTAAGTAGGGAGTTGGGATGGGGGTTGGTCAGTGAGGAGGGAGGAGCAGGTAGGTGGGAGGGAAGACGGGCAGGTCAAGGAGGCAGGGATGAGGCTAGTGGAGGTGAGGTGAGTGTAGGTAGGAAGTGGAGGTGGGGGTTGGTCAGTGAGGTGAGAGGAGCAGATAGGTGGGAGAAAAGACGGACAGGTCAAGGAGACGGGGACGACAGGGGGTGCTGGTCTTGGGACGAGGTCGGGGGTGGGGAGATTTTGAAGCTCGTAAAGTCCACATCGAGACCATTGGGCTGCAAGGTTCCCAGGCAGAATATGAGGTGCTGTTCCTCCAGTTTTCGGGTGGCATCGTTGTGGAACTGGAGGAGGCCCAGGATGGACATGTTGTCCTAGGTGTGGAAGGGGGAGTTGAAGTGGTTCGCGACTGGGAGGTGTTGTCATTTGTCACGAACTGAGCGTAGGTGCTTCACAAAACGGTCTCCAAGCCTCGGCTTGGTTTCCCTGATGTAGAGGAGGAAAGCTGACGTTTCAGGTCTGGACCCTTCTTCAGAAATGGGGGAGGGGAAGAGGGCTCTGAAATAAGTCCCAGCAAGCTCTGGATTCAACGCATCATTCTCCGCCACTTCCACCACCTGCAATCTGACCCCACTACCAAGAATATATTTCCCTTCCCACCCTTATCTGCCTTCCGGTGGGACTGCTCTCTCTGCGACTCCCTCATCCGCTCCACTCTCCCCACTCCCCCACCACACCCGGCACCTTTCCCTGCAACCACAGGAGGTGCTACACCTGCCCCTACACCTCCCCCCTCACCTCCATCCCAGGCCCCAAGAAAACCTTCCACATTAAACAGATGTTCACCTGCACATCCGCTAATGTGGTATATCGTATCTGCTGTTCCCAATGTGGCGTCCTCTACATCGGGGAAACCAAGCGGAGGCTTGGAGACCGCTTTGTGGAACACCTACGCTCGGTTCATGACAAACGACAACACCTCCCAGTCGCGAACCACTTCAACTACCCCTCTCACTCCTTGGATGACATATCCATCCTGGGCCTCCTCCAGTGCCACAACGATGCCATCTGAAAACTGGAGGAACAGCACCTCATATTCCGCCTTGGAACCCTACAACCCAATGGTCTTACTGTGGACTTTACAAGCTTCAAAATCTCCCCACCCCCGACCTCGTTCCAAGACCAGCCCTCCCTCTCGTCCCCGTCTCCTTGGCCTGTCCGTCTTTTCTCCCACCTATCTGCTCCTCCCACCTCACTGACCAGCCCCCACCTCCACTTCCTACCTACAGTCACGTCACCTCTACTAGCCTCATCCCCGCCTCCTTGGCCTGTCCGTCTTCCCGTCCCCATTACCTGCCCCTCCCTCCTCACTGACCAACCCCCATCCCAACTCCCTACCTACGCTCACCTGTTCTGGCTTCAGCCCGACCTCTTTGACCTGTCCGTCTTCTCTCCACCTATCTGCTCCACTATACACCTTCTATCATCGCCTCCCCCTCTCTCTATTTATTTCAGAGCTCCATTCCCCTCCCCAATTTCTGAAGAAGGGTCCAGACCCAAAACGTTAGCTTTCCTGCTCCTCTGATGCTGCTTGGCCTGGTGTGTTCATCCAGCTCTACACCTTGTTATCTCAGGCTCCAGCATCAGCAGTTCCTACTATCTCTGACCAGATATTAGACAGATACGTTCAGAATCTTAACTTTTGGGGAATATTTCTTTGGATTGTTTTCAACGCAGGTGAAAGCACATTTTCTTATTGAAGTACTAAAAATATTAGTGAGTTAGGCACATAGTAGTAATGTCACTGGACTACTAATCCAAGAATCCCAGTTTAATGTTCTGGGAACATAGGTTCAAATCACTCCATGGAAAATGGTATCATTTAATTAAAATCAAAATCTTTTGAATTAGAAGCTCGCCTAAAACTGGCTGGTAAACCACATTTTTTTTGTCCTCTAAAAACCTATTTAATTCACTCATGTCCTTTAGGAAAGGAATTCTGCTCTATCCTTAATTAGTCTGGCCTATTTGTGACTCTAGACTCACAGCAACGTGGTTTACCCTTTACTGGCCTGTAGGCATATTAAATGTGAGCAATAAATCTTTGCCAGGAAAGCCAACATTCCATGAGTAAAACAAATGTTAAATATGTTATGTTCTTATTATCTCATCTTTAACATCTTATCAGGAAAACTGTGATTCTACGTGGCACTTTCTCAATCCAATAGTAAAACGTTCACCTGGACTTAACACTGGAGTAGGACTTGAATACATAACCTCTGACCAAGTGTAGAACTACTGAGTCAAAGCAGTTTATGCTAATTATATTGGCAGTTTTGGGAAGAATTATTTCTGGAATTCAAGAACCTTGTCAATTAAGTTCTCACTAAATAAAACAAGCAGCAAACTATCCTCTTCCAGGTACATCTAACATGATATTTCTTATCCAATATATCTTAGTGGAATCAATTTGAAATAAGCTTTCTACTGCCTGAAAAATATTCCTTAAGTGTCTGAACTCTAGGCACTTCCTGAATTGGAAGGTCAGCTAATTCATCCCTGCAATCAACATCAAAAATCTATAATTTTCATATTGAAATTTTTATAAATTATTACAATAATACATTTCTTCGTACTATTTTCTTAAATCTACCCTGAGATAGAATTTATTTAAAATGTGATACTTAAAATAAGTATTCCAATTTCCAAAGAACTCGATACATTTAGATATGATGTTTCTGTACTTATTATTTAACCATTGCTTTCAGATGGTGCAATAAAGTATAAAGTCTATATTGACATGAGGTAAACATTGACTTGAAACAGGCACTTTAGTAAATAGGTGGCATTATTATTAGGATGCCAGCTAACATGATAGGAAATGGATAATCACTGTACATTTTTAACTTATATCTCATGGTAATCATTACATTTTTAATGTGAAGAAGGAGAAAAAAATATGAATACATCAAATTGATGTCTGTGTATCTGAATGTGCAAATATTTTGACCTAAGCATTGGGATACATATTGGGGATTTATCATTTTCATGAAAACCTAACTTTATCATGGACACACTTTTAAAAAATTACCATATGTTGTGTTTCCTGTATGCACGAGATCTTAAAGTAGAAGTATGGATTGTTTGTATTATAAATTGAATTGAAAGAGAAACTTACGTATTGTCAAGGCATTTCCCTTTTTTTCTGTATGTCACACCAACTAGCAATGCATTGTTTTTACCTCACATTTTGGATTATTGTATATTGTGAGTCCACACAACAAAAGGAAACTTGCCTGAAACTCATTTAAATGTATTTAATAAAAGGCAGCAGAGATGGTGAGAGAAAACTTCAGAAACAGAAATTGTTGGAGAAACTCAGCAGATCTGGCGGTATCTGTGGAAAGGTGACAGAGTTAACATGTCGGGTTAACCATTCTTCAGGTAAGTGGAAATTTCAGTTGCATTAGTCAGATTTAAATTTAAACCCGGGTCCTAGAGTTGGTCAGAAACTGTGCTAACTCACTGCATAAATAATGAATATTTTTAAAAAATTGCTAGAAAAGCTCAGCAGGTCTGGCAGCATCTATGAAGAAAAAAAAGTTAACATTTTGGGTCTGGTGACCCTTCCTCAGAACACTAAGACACTGCATGATCAATTCCAGCAATATTGGAGATTATTAAATTTGTCTCAGTTTTCTCAGCAGAGACATAGGAGCTCATTCTTCTTGTGGTAAACTTGTTTTAATCATTTGACATTGATTCATAGAGTCATAGATCATGGGAACAGACCCTTCAGTCCAACCAGTCCATGTGGAACATAATTCCAAACTAATCCAGTCCCACTTGCCTGCTCCTGGTCCACAACCCTCCAAACCTTTCCTATTCATGTACTTGTCCAAATGTCTTTTAAACGTTGTAATTGTTCCTGCATCTACCACTTTATCGGGAAGTTCATTCCACACGCGAACCACTCTCTGTGTAAAAAATTTACCCCTCGTGCCTTTTTTGATCTCTCTCCTCTCACCTTAAAAATGAGCCCCCCAGTCTTGAAATCTCCTATTCTAGGGAAAAGACATCTATCATTAACCCTATCCATACCTTTCATTATTTTATAAACTTCTATCAGGTCGTCTCTCAATCTCCTAGGCTCCTTTAACAAAAGCAGAAATAAAACAAAGCTCTGTTTCTTTTCCCAGATAATTTACACGCCACCATCAACATCAGGTAACCAAAACTCATGGTCAACATTTGGATGAAAAAGTCATCAACGTGATACTCAAACTTTGTCTCTCCACAGATGCTGTCAGACCTACGGAGTATTTCCAGAATTTCCTATTTTTGACGTACTGTGTTTCTATCCCTTAGCCTTTGATGTGGTAAATAATGACAATTATTGCATTCATTTAATTACTTTGAGTACCTTTTCTCCCTTAAGGCAGGAACAATTAATGGTCTTTGTGCTGTCAACTTCAGCAGGTGGTTGCGGTGTTGTTGAGATCTCCAAATGAGGATGTTGTGTGGCAACAATAATCTGACACTGGTTTACAAATGACAAAGAAATGGTGGTGAATAGTAGAAAGTGTAAGGACAGTTACTTGAAATGCACATCAGTGCAAGTTACATTTAACCAACTATGCAGACCGGAATAGTGCAAAAGTTCTTTGAAAGAACTCAGCTCACTCTTAATCATCATTTCGACCTGTAATGCCATTCATTATCTCATGAGTAAAGTTAGTGAGACCTAAAGCCATTGCCTTTGGCTGCACCCACAAATTCTGTACCTTCACCTCCAGCAAAATTCTCCTCCTTGACCAATGTCTCATGTCAAAGTTAATGTTCTGCAAACCTAACATTCTATTTGAGCTTGAGCTTAGCATATGACGTCACCATTCCTTCCAACATTAATTCTATCAAAGTCCACCTCTGTAATATTGCACATGCATTTCCCAGAATCAGCTCATCTCATACAAAAACCCTCAAGTCTTTGGTATCTCCCAATTCTAAAATTCCAATATTCTTCTGGCCATCTTCCACTCTGCACATGTTTCAGCTCACTGCCTGTGATTTACAAAAAGCTCCACCGACTCACTTATCCTCTACTTTCTAATCTACTTTGATTTTTGATCAACACTCAGCTCAAACATGATAAATTGCAATCAATCTTCAAGTAGCTATGCTCTCCCAAGAAATCTGGCCTCTTATGAACTTGAATGTTTTTACCCCACCTCTGGTGGTTTTGTCAAAAGCTGTGTAGGCTCTAAGTTTTGTAATTTTAACTTTTGGTTCCCTGCTGGTTAATCCCTATTTTCCTTTAATACCATCCTTAAGACCCAGTAATCCTTTGGCTCAGTGTCTGACTATGCTTCTGTCAAGCACCTTGCTGTATTCTGTAGTTTTGTCTGTAAACACATATTATTGTTGATGTGAATGACTCCCTGTGGTAATATCCCATACAGATCAATAAGATCCCAGATTTAATTCCTGATATGCAATGAGTCCACTGATCTCAGCTGGACTGACACTAGGTATGTTACTCTGCCTCTGTAGTTTATAGTTACAAAGATTTTAAACCTGACTGATATGCAGCAAACCTTGCTAGAAAGTGTTAATGTGTCTATGAAAGATGGAACTAAGAAAATAGGGGGTGAGTTGGAGATACCAAATAGCATAATACTTGCATACCAATAACTTGCATTTATATAAAATATTTAATGTGGAAAGGCACTTCACACTAAATCAATCAGATAGAAATAAACACCAATTCGAAGGTATTTACAGTTTGGGAAAAGTTGGTTTATAAAGACCATAAGTGAATAAACATTGAGATTACTTCAGGATGTAAACATTCATAATATCCGATAATTAGGACAAATTAGGTAATGATTTTACTGAAAGCATATTTGCTAAAGGTGAGCATGACTATTGAAATTAGCTTTTAATGCTCTTAGAACCATTTCTTTCTTCTTCATGCACTTATTTCTTACTCACTGGGTTGCTGGGAAGATCACAGCAGGTTTCCAGCTCTGCATCCTTGGCATCACAATAAATGACAATCCGTTGAAGGTCAAACTGGAATTAGGTTGGAAAAAAAAAATTTCTTACAAAATAACTACTGGATATTATTAATTATTTTGAATCTAGGTCCTTTTTACCTTCCACTCTGTCAAGTTCTATGTGAGCTTCCTAATGCCTGCTGAGTATTTGCACCTCACAACTCAATCTGATCTAATTCTTATCAAAGAGCAGTGAACTCTGTGATGTAGGTTTCTATGACTCTATGTGCTAAGCATGACTGTTCTTTCACAGAACCATCAGAGGCTAGATTGGCTGATTAGGCTTCTTTGACGCAGTGCGATTCTAGTTCTACAAAAATTTCCTTTAACATCCAGTAAAAGAATACCTTTTTTCCACATTCCACATGAGCAAGATTCTCAGAGATTGTATATTTCAAAGCCATTTTTGTTAGTTAGAAAAGAAGTACATTCCTAATATTTTCATTTAGAATACACTTTTTCTTATAAATCCTTTGACCAACTCTCCAGTCAAGCAGGGAAGGAAGGGTAAATCTGCACCTCAAAGCAACAGAAGATAATTTTAGTATTTTCACTGGCATTCTCAGGTGCTTTTCCTTTCAAGCAAGGGACCAAACTTTAGATCTCGTGTGGTAGTTATGCCTTCAGTTCTAGATGAGGGAAATATTCCAGATGTAAGAATCTTGTGCAGTTGGCTGCAAACCCAAAGAAAATGTGCTAAATATGTTCAGCCCTCAAATGCCTTCCTGTTACTCTTGGTTCCACTGCACTTGGTTCCAAATGGTTTAAGGACCCTTGTTTGATCACGGTGCACCAGATTAAACTCGTCTTTGCCTGTGTGGCACATGGTGCAATCTAACTTGGCAAACAAACTAGAAGCAGCCATTAATATTCCAGTTTGCACAGGTAAAGGACCTACTGCCCACAAAAGACAGGTGTCATGTTATTACTATACTGATGGCCAAACCAAGATTGCATACATTTCTGACATGGTCTGAACACGAGCCAGTGGCAGACCCTTCAGCCCTGATTTGCAACTGAAAATGGACACTCTCCAGTTGAATTTATGGACTACACATGACTTACATCAATTGGGACACTATCATACAGACGTTTGCCAATCACTGTTTTCCCTCGAATGTTGATGTTCTCCCGTTCTTCCATTGGCAGCGTTTCAATCAGTTTGCAGTCAATGTAGAGAGAGACACTGCTCGATTGAATACTGAGTGCCAGCTTGTGCCAATCACGGTCAAATAAGCCGCTGACTTCTTTGTTTTTGAAAACGGTTCTCACAGCATCTTTTCTCAGTCCAACTGCATTGTATTCCACAGCTTTGTTCTCACCATCTAATCGAATGGAAACCTGGAAAATGCAAAGAGAGGGATCACTGTGTGTTCCAACTGTAAAGAAGCATTTCTTATTGCACTGGCAATCTTTTAAAAATGATTATTGTCAGTGTGGATGGTGATGACAAGTGGAGTCCCAGAGGGATCAATACTTGGATCCTGCTATCCACAATATATGCCAACAAATTAAAAGAGGGTATCAAGTGTAATTGGTGAGGACATAAAGATGCTTCAAGGTTATTTAGACAAGTTGAGTGGCAAATACATGGCATAATCGTGGATAAATGTGAAGTTGCACATTTTGGTGGGAAAGAAAGAATGGCAGTGTATTATTTAAATGGTGATAGATTGGGAATGGTTGATGTACAACAGGAATCTGGGTGTCTTTGTACAGCAGTCAAACAGGTGCAGTAAACAGTTAGTAATGCATATGGTATGTTGGCCTTCATCGTAAGAAAGTTTTGAGTACAGGAGCAAGGAAATCTTACTGCAGTGGAACAGGGCTGAGTGAGACCACACCTGCACCATTGTTTTTGATCTCCTTACCAAAGGAAACATTTGTGCAACAAGTGCAATAAAATTTTGCCAGGCTGATTCCGGGATTGGCAATCCTGTCATATGAGGAGATTTTTGGTCCATTGGGCTGTATTCACTGGAAGAATGACACAGGACTTATTGAGAGGGCTGGACAGACTGGATGCAGCATTGATCTTTCCCTTGGCCAGGATCCCAGAACAAGGGATCACTCTCTGAGGACGCACAGTACTGAGAAGAATTAGAACTAGAAGCACGACGAGGCAATACAGCCCCTCGAGTCTGCTCCACCATTTAATTCAATCATGGCTGATCTCATTGCGATATCAACTGCTCCTTCCTGCCCGATGTCCATAAGCCTTCAAACCATTACCAATTTGACTTACATGATACTAAGAGGCTTGGATAGGGTGGATATGGAGAAGACATTCCAACAGTAGGATAGACTAGGACCCTGAGGGCACAGGCTCAGATTGAAGGAACAACCCTTTAGAACTGAGATGAGGAAGAATTTCTTCAGCCACAGTGTTGGTGAATCTGTGGAACTCATTGCCGCGGAGGGCTGTGGAGGTCAACTTATTAACTGCATTTAAGACAGAGATAGATAGGGTCTTGATTATTAAGGGAATCAAGGGTTATGGGGAGAAGGCAGGGGAATGTGGTTCAGAAACATATCGGTGATGATCAAATGGTGGAGCAGAATTAATAGGCCGAATGGCCTAATTCTTCTCATATATCTGATAGTCTTATGGTCCAACAGGAGGCTATTTAGATTGAGATAAGGGACAGTTTATTCAATCAGGGGGTGGTGGACGTATGGAATTCTCCCGAAGGCTGTTGTGTATGGACACAAAGGTCCTAAATATATTTAAGAAAGAAAGAGAGAAATTTCTAGATGCTAAATGTATCAAGGGTTCTGGGGAATGTGTGGAAGTGTGGTGCTCAGATGGGGGATTAGGATGAATGGTGGATTGGGCTCTATGGGCCAAGTGGCCTAACTTTTTTCTGTTTTCTATGTTTCCATATTTTCTCTTCTGAATCATTTCACTCACATTAGGGCACTGTTTCAAATATCTTGACCATTATACTTGATTTTAGACATGGTGCTCATTCACTATTTATCTACCTGTTAAGCTTGGATCTATCACTTGTGATTGTAATGGTATGATGTAAAATGGACAACTGATCCAATCCTGTCAGTTTCTGACTAGGTATATTTGTTTGAAATTATACAAATAAACCAGTTCACAGATTGTATTCAGATTATATGGAGTATAGTTTGAAGAAGGAAAGGCATAATTTTGTAGGTTTCACGACATTTATGATAAATGGTGAATAGTATGGAGGACTTTTGGTATGCTTGTCTTTATTGGTCAGTGCATTGAGTTGGGAGGTCATGTTGTGGCTGTACAGGACATTAGTTAGGCCACTTTTGGAATACTGCATTCACTTCTGGTCTACTTGCTATAGGGAGCTAAAGGGAGAGGCTGAATAGACTGAGGCTATTTTCCCTGGAGCACCAGAGGCGGAGGGGTGACCTTGTAGAAGTATACAAAATCATGAGGGATGTGGATAGGGTGAATAGTCAAGGTCTTTTCCCCAGGGTCAGAGAGTCCAAAACTAGATGGCATAGGTTTAAGGTGAGAGGGGCAAGATTTAAAAGGACCTACAGGACAACTTTTCACAAAGAGGAAAGTGTGCGTATGGAGCTAGCTGTTAGATGAAGTGGTGGAGGCAGGTACAATTACAACATTTAAAAGGCATCTGGATGGGTATACAAATGGGAAGGGTTTAGAGGGATATGGGCCAAATGATGGCAAATGGGACTAGATTAATTTAGGATATCTGGTCGGTATGGACAAGTTGGGTCGAACTGTCTAATTCTGTGCTGTACATCTGTATGACTCTATGAGTCTCTTCCACATAGCTTGAAATGATAGTTCCATTCTCTGTCTAGCTGTGTTTCTTTCTGTGTGATTATAAAAGCCCCATTGTTTTTTTCAAAGATTATCTGCTCGCTATTTTGCCAACGCCTTTTATGTATATCTCTTCTCATTTTGTAATTATATGCTTTTCAGTTTTCATGGGCATCTTTAGTTTTTTTTGTTCTAACATGATCATATGTCTCACTTTTAAATTTCAACCCATTTCAATCTCTTTTATTATTTACCAGAGCTCACCATTTCTGCTTACATGAATGCAATTTGTACTGGTTGTCGCATGCTTGAAAGTTCTTCATTTCTCATCTGTTAATCTGCTTGCTAAAGCATCTCCATGATAAAATTGGGCTAGATCACTTCATATTAATGTTGAGCATTGTCTTTTGCAAGCCAAGCATGTTTATGTTTGTAACTTATGTTTGTAACTTCATTGCATCCTCTTCCATTATTTTTTCTAAAAGCTATATTCTGGTTCCTATTTCCCAAGTGTTTCTAACTCTTGTGTCGAGTTGATTCTAACATCACCAAACAGTGTAAATCAAAGCTACAGTGAGGTCCACAGACAGATCACACAAATATTCAACAGCAAGATATTAATAAAGATTCTGCTTACATCGTTTCCCAGGGTAAAGGAATATATTGATCTTGAAAGCAGTCTGGTATGCATTCCAAAAAAATTCAATGACCTGCATTATTTTTATTCCAATCTATCTTGAGATGGTGAAAATCTTCAATATTGTTATCCTTACATTCATAAAATCCCTATAGCATGGAAGCAGGCCATTCGGAACAATAAGTCCACACCACCTCTTAAGAGTATCCCATCCAGAACCCTACTCCCTACTTTATCCCTGTAACTCCACATAACCCATGGCTAACCCACCTAGCCTGCACATCCCTGGTCACTATGGACAATTTAGCACAGCCAATCCACCTAACCTGCACATCTTTGGACTGTAGGAGGAAACCAGAGCACCGAGCAGAAACCCAAACAGGCACAGGAAGAACATGTAAACTCCACACAGACAGTTGTCCAAGGGTGGAATCAAACCCAGGACCCCAGCACTGTTAGGCAGCAGTGCTAACCACTGAGACACAGTGCTGCATACCTTTGTGCTCTGTTTTCTCATCTCACACTCTATCTGATTTCTATCTTTTAGTGGCCTGTAATTCATAATGGGACATTTTACCATTTCTCTCCAATTTCTTAGCTCTAGTCTTGTGTCTTCTAATTTAACACAATTCCTAGAATATCCTTAATACCAAGAGCAAAGACCGAAACCCTCACTAACAGTGTAACCTCAGCATCTTATAATTTTCTCAATTTCTGCAGTCTTATCCAAATCTATTCAATATAATTCAAACCCAAAATTCCTCCACAGTTGTTAACTACACCTGAATGCACACATCAATGTACACATACTGAAAGTACATGCAACGCAACACTTGTGAAATACTTTTAACTCAACTAGTGAGAAAAAAAATGTTCAATAGAGAACACTCCATCTAGGACACAGTAGATTTTATGGCATTAAACACCTCTTGGAGAGATCTATTTTGGATTGGTGAAATGTGCTGATAACTCAATGATTTTGAAGTAATTTGTTGTATTCTAATTCCCCAGTCATGCAAGTTTACCTAGTGAAATCACTCTTGAATGAAGGATAAATGTGTGACAATATACCTGTGGGATCCCATATTTGTCAATAATTTGCCAGATGTACCAGTCTTCTCTTCGGGAAGCTTTTCGGAATTTAAAGGTGGCAACAAAAGCATATTCATCAGGCAGGCCTTGAGGAAATACGTCTCTGAAATAAAGGTTGAGAGCTCCTTGAATGCTCATCAATATTCAGCAGTTAGTGATATATCCAGATATGTCAAGAAAATCCCAAGAATTATGCCCAATCGCTGTTGTTTTAGTTGATGCATGCAGAGTTGTAAACAACCGACATTAAAAGCCATTTGTTTTTGACAATACACAGGTAGATTACATAGCCATAATATTCCACAAGTACATCCTTTCATTTCAATTAACTGTTTATTGCTGATATTTGTTGTGGCTTTTCAAACAATTCTTTCAGGTTTGCTGGAGAGGTCAGCACTTATTGCCCATCCATAACTGTCCTTGAATTCAGTTTCTTACAGGCTATTTCAGTCAGCGGCTGAGTGACAATGACACTGTGTGGGCCTGGAGTCACATGTAGGCCAGACCAGGCAAGGATGACAGATTTGTTTCCCTAAAGGACATTAGGTGAATTTTCATGACAGTCAATGCTAGATTTTTGGCACCTTTATTGAAGCTAACTTTGAATTAAAGATTTGTCATTAATTAATTTATTTCAAATTCCAAAGCTGTTGACTCGATTGAGTTGCTACAAATGTTTCCCAAACAGTTGGTCTGCTCTAAAATCTTAAAATCTGTACCTGCTGCTGCCACACTTTTCTAAGTTTCAGGGAGCTATGAGACGATACTTACTTGTGAGACGGTCTTAATTTCCTGGCTGAGTCCCTTAACATATTTATCACTGAGCCATGAGATACAAATAAATCTACAAATAAATTTAGTTTTATGATGATAGCCTCTGGAAAATTTTTTAAGGATGAGTGAAGGGAGGCAATGGCCTAGTGGCACTATCACAGGACTGCTAATCCAGAGACCCACATAATATTCTGGGGATCTGGGTTCGAATTCCACCACAGCAGACGGTGGAATTTGAATTCAATAAAATATCTGGAATTAAGAATCTAATAATGCCCAGGAATCCATTGTTGATTGTTGGTGGGGGGAAACCCATCTGGGTCACTAATGTCCTTTAAGGAAGGAAAGTGCCATCCTTACCTGGTCTGGCCTACATGTGACTCCCAACCCAAAGCAATGTGGTTGACTCTTATCTGCTCTCTGGGCAAATAGGGATGGATGATAAATGCTGGTCTAGCCATCGAAGCCCTCATCCTGTTAATGAATTTTAAAAAGGCTGCAAGGTTGCCTTCTAACAGGTATTACTGAACAATGTAGAGCTGCACAGAGGATACACTTGAGAGGTCAAGAACAGAGACTGTTGAGGCAACACATTCTTTTTCATCAACTGGAGAGCTGGTCCAGTGCTAGCTCTGTAGTGAAAGTTGGCAGTATCATGTACTGCTCAGACACTTGATAGCCCTTCCCACAGGATCAAGGGCACCCACGAGCAGCCAGGTAATCAGATGTTGGTAGTTCTGGTGAATAGCAGCACCGCTGTGAAAGCGTTGGCTATTGCTGGTGCAATACTCACCTGAAGCTTAGAATAGTTACAGGATACCAGGCTACAGTAAGGGAAAAATTAAATATATTGGCCACAAGGATATAGGGGTCAGTATGGCTCTCAGAATGTTACACCTTTTCCATTGGTTGGTTTCTCAATCAGATACCCATGAGGTAACCTTGTTGTGCTCCCCTTGTTACAAGTCTTGCCCACCCACCACTGGGTTAATATTAGTGGTGACATGACAAGGCCCTTGGGAGGTCATTGATGACATAAAAACTAGAGCTAGTTTAGATCATTCAGCCCTTCAACCTTGCTTTGTCATTGAATAAGATTATGGCTGATCAGATTGATGCCTCAACTCCACATTCTTGCCTATTCCAATAATGTTTGAATCCCATGGGACTTCAATTGGTCCCATATCTGGAGCAAGCAAATGCTGCTCTCTTTCCATGTTCAACCCCCATGCCCAGTCACGCCAGAATATTCCCTCCTGGGTCAGGCTTGAAAAGCCAGAACATTTCCTGACTCTGATTGCCTGAACCAGGGATAAAAAATGGGTCAGTTGATGTGAAGAGGAGTTTCAGAATGTAAAGCTGACACAGAACATAGCAGTATTGTGAACTCTATTACACTTCAAAAGATCACAGATGGACTGATGGAATGAGCAGAAAAGTGGCAGATAAAGTTTAGTGCAGAGAAGTGTGAAGGATTCTATTTAAGAAGAATAGTGGAGGCAATTTACAATAAAGAGTGAAATTCTAAAGAGGATCCAGAAGACAAAGGACATAGGTGGATTTGTACACATCAGTGAAAGTCACAGAATAGGTATGAGTACAGTTTTTAAACCATATAGGATGCTGGGATTTACAAATGGAGGCAGTCAAGAAAATTAGGATAAAACTTTACACAATGCTGGGTTGGCCTCAGCTGAAGTATTGCATTCAATTTCATCAAGTACACTTTAGGAAGACCAGAAATACATTAAAGCGAATACAGAAAAGATTTTGGAGAATGGTTCCGTGGATGACAAACTCAGTTTATATAGATATCCTTGAAAAACTGGGACTCTTCCTCTTGGTGTGGACTAGATTGAGAGGACATACTTTAGACGTATTCAAAACCATGAGACACAATAGACAGGGACAATCTCTTCCCAATTGAGGAACAATTGAGAAGACAGCAGGGAAGTGTTTGACAAAGGAGGCAATATGGCAGTATGACGAAAAGTTCTATTGCACAACTAGTAGTTAGGATATGGACTGCACTGGTTATAGTATGATGGGAGAAGATTGAATTGTGATTTTCAAAAGAAAATTTGATCATTTTCTTAAAGGGAAAATTTGGAGGGCTGCAGGCAAAAAGGTGGGAGTGGCACAAGCTGATTTACTCTTGTAGAAAGCAGGGACAGACATGAAAGGATGAGTGGACATTTTCATTTTCAACAGGGCTCTGGAAATCTTTTTATTTCTGCTTAAGCCAATTGCTGGGTGGAGCATTGCAGTCACTGAATGTACATCTGCTTGACCTATCATAAGGGACATTTATACTGCCATTTTGTGCTTGAAAAATTGGTGGGTCACCATCATAATTCTTGGCAGAATCTAGAAAATTATTTCTGAAAATATAGGTTTGGTAGTGTGATAATCGAGAGATCTAAACTGATAACCCAATGAACATAAGTTTAAATACCAAATGGCATTAAAAAAAAAATGAACTGCATTTTTATAAACCTATTAATGCACAGATGTTATGCACTCCTTATTCAGGTTCTACACTCCTATCAATGTGAATTCCCTGCCTTCTATGTGGCTCAATGAGTCAAAACCAGTGCCAAGATTAGGATTTCTGGGCAACAGGTGATGACTGTCAGCCTTAACAGTGAGTCATACCTCGAGAATTAATGTTAAAACAAAGGAACACAACAAAATCACTTCTGAATTTATCCTATAATCTGAGGTGTGAGGAGGTAACAAACATCTCCCTGAATTTGGAGCAGTTGTCTGTCTCAGAATGCTTATTATTCCCACTGTCAAGAGGACGTTTTCAGTTAGGATGCAGTCATGCCTGAATCTGTCAGCCAGTGATAACTAACCCTGGTAAAGAAATCTGAACATGGCCAACAGCTGTCTAAGTGGAGCACTTCTCAAAATCTGCTATTGTTCATCAACTCTGTTCTTAGCTTTGTTTATGTTCTGACATGAAACCTGCAGTTGCTCATGTCTTTACACCTTAAGTTAGAATCTTGAGCAACTGGCTGTCAATTTAAAGTGATGTTGTGTCGCATCTCCTCACACCAAGGCTCCCTGTGTTCTTAGGGTCAGGTAGTGTCATCCTGAAGTAAACCTGAATAATTCAATTTGATATGGCCAGGCAGTGAACTCGCAGATCAAAACAGCAGATCGTTGAATTATAGGTAAATGTGAATATCCATACAATCTGTATACATTGAGGTATCAGAAATCCGTGCCACTGTAACTTCCTTGAAGTGACATAGTTTGAAGACACTGACTCCATCATTTCAATGTATCTAACAGAGCTACTTTAGCCCTCTCCTCGAAACTCAAGCCACTGAAGTAGCCTATTATTAGGGAAAGAAAACCTACAGGATCTTCAGATCACCGCTAAAAATGATGGTAAAATCAATGAAATATTTGCCAAGGATTTTTTTTTGTATAAGGCCAGAACCATCTTTTACATTACTCCAAATCTTTATTTTCATTGAAGTCAATTGCTGGTAACATGTCAATGAAAACATCAGTACACTATCTATTTCTGGCTCACTAAATGGACAAAAATAAATTTTCAGCTCCTTGTGTCAATGTTCTAGGCAACATATAATGGTAGGAATATTTAATTATTAACCAGCTAATTATCTCATTTGTTATCTGAGCTTAAACAAAAAGTTCATTCAATGCTTTCACCGGGTAAAATCTATCGCCTTGAAGTGCACGGACTACTTGGAGCATTGCCAAGGTAAATTACCCTGCTAAAAGAGAGATTTTCATGTTAAGCTTCTGAGGAAGTCAGGTGGAAATGATATAAATTCCTGATTCCAATTCAAACCCTTGTCTAAACACTGACTGTAACCTAAGCCAAACTCTAATCTTAACATCAAAGGAATAATAACACAGCAAAATATCAAACATATGAAGCATTCAGCCTTTTTAAGCTATTCTTTTTAAACAAAATTCAATAGATACAATAATGGTATTGCTTAGTTAATCTCTTGAAAGAAGCTGAATAGGTAGGCAAAGCTGTTTTTTTTCCTGTCGAAAGCAGTGATGCAAATGTTCTAAGACACCATTCTAACAGGAAAATCTATAATACCTACCGTCGGCTGCTTGCATTCCACAGATAACTTTCCTGGTAGTTTTAACAGGAAATTTCTAAATCTATTTTTATCCTTAAACCCATACCGAATGAAATGTTCACCCAGCTCCTTTCAAAATGAGCTGCTTAGTTTGGAAATCATGTAATATTTCAACAGGAATATGCAATAATAAGACTTGCAATTTAAAAATTTGCTTGAGGCGTGCTAATTCTCTGTGCATATTCTCTACTCCTGTCACTACAGATAACTTAAGTCAGATGAAGAAGAGGTGAAAGTTAACTGACATATGACCTGCCATTGAGGAACAAAAGGTTTATTTATAGGAACATAAATTTATCAACTCAATGTTTTGATGTTTATTTGAAATACAGCGAGTGTACGAATACAGATCATTCCTTTTACATCCACTGTATGTTGACTTCAATGTTTCAAATTTAATATGGTTTATTACCAAAAGACACAACAAAATATTTCTAAATTATATTTTAGAAAAGTATTATTGTGGAATGAAAGATAGAGGATTTTATTTCTAAATTTTATTTCTAAATTAGATCTTTTAAAGTACAATCCTTATCATATTTCATACCTCTAGATACCACAGATAGAAAATTCAGTGACAGATTACATACAGCTAGCAAATGGATAAACATGTAGACATCAAGCTTGCACACATAAGGGCCTGAAATTGTGCATAGGGTGGGAGGCTTTTGTCATCGTGAAAATGGCAGCAGAAGCTCAAATACAGAGATCCCTTGCTAAACCTGGCCTCCACCATTTTCACAGTGGAGAGTACGGGTGGTGTGGAAAGGAGACAAATTCTAAATAGGAAATTCTTGCCTCCCAGAGGCAGCTGCCCATTTCAATCAGCAACTGCCTCTACTGACTTCTGATTTTGGCTAAGGTTACCATGAAGCACTCTCCTTTTCAACCTTTCCTCAAACCTGAGCTATGGCCACCCTCAGGTTAAAACGCCATTTCTCTGTATTGTGAGAGCAGATCTGTGGTCCAGTAGGACTGTGGTGACTTTACCTTTATACCTGATTTTGATGAGGTAGGTGTCTGTGCAGATTGGACCTGGTAGGAACAGACCTGAAACTCATGGGTTTGCTTGTAAAACCAGGATCCCCTTTGGAAAACAATGATTGGGATATTGTCTTTCGGGTTTGAGGTAAGGGATGTTAACTATAAGGTTAGTTTGGAGAAGCTAGGATTGTTCTTCTTGCAACAAATGAGACTGAGAAGCAACTTGAGAGTACAGGTAAGTTACACAAAGTTGTTCGTAGCTGTGACACTGACTTAAGGTTTTGGGCAAGAAATGCAAGGCAATGTGAGGAAGACCCATTTGCACAACAATTGGTCATGTCTTCCAAATTGCTATGAGGGCAAGGGAAGAAGAGATGGTGGATGATTTCAAAATTTCCATATGTCTTGCTGATTACTCTCTCAAAGCATCCTGCCACATTTGAAGATTGAGCCTGACATCCTTCTGCCCCTGAAAAAAAACTAAGCTGTGTTTTACTAGCAACTTTATTAGCAACAGTTTGAGGATGACTTGCTTCTACTCTGGGTGGAGCAGAGCTGGGGCAGGGTTGGGGCAGTGCTGCACTAGCCAAAGTGGGGAAAGTGGTGTTTGATGAGGTGGATGGTTGGGGGTTAGCAACTTGATGTTTGTGGCAGATAGTGAGAATTCTTATGGATACATAAGCATAAGTTAGAACATCCCACTATGTTAAAGGTACAATATAAATGCAAGCTGTTATTATTTTTATTTGAATTTTGCATGAGATTCTGTGCTAGTACGAGACAGGAAATCTTTACACCTCTGTTGATGTAAATGATTTATTTCTTATAAATGGTCTCTTCTACCAAAATAATTTTAATCTCCCTTTTGAATCCAATAACACCATTTCATTTTCTTGTTTTCTTGACTGCATATATTCATTCTCTTCTCCACCTCCCACATGGTTAAATGCAAGAATGATTAAAGTCAACGCAAAGATTTCTTTACTCTGTCAACCATATGTCTCAGAGTCCACTAAATGTCGAAAATTCCAAAATTACCAATTTATTTTAAAAGTACCCATCCCATAACCTCTCCAAATAATATTGTCTATTTATCTCCAATAATTGACAAATTGGATGTAGATTACTGCTTGAGGATTTTTAGAGCTGGATTCTATGTTTGCAAACAAGTCTAAGGCTCTTATATCCCATGGTACCCCTCACTGAAAGTCAAAGGAGGTTTTTGTCCAATCATCTAATGTTGTCTAGTGGACAACAAATGAAAAAATTGAAAGGATAATTTTCAGCTTACCGTGTGAACCAGACTACTCTAACTTTTCTATTCTGAATATTTTTAAAAATAATTTCATTGACCGAAACCATTGGATAAGCAACTTGTTGATAAGCCTTCTGCGCTGTCACATCAGGCCAGATGCTGGAAAGTATGTCAGGCTGTTTTTCTGATTCCCTTTCACACTCTAAGGGCAGATGTCTGCTTTCTATTCAGTTCACAATTCATGACTTATATCAGTAACGTCAGGAATGGCATATTAGGACTTCAGGCTGATCCTTCAGCATTTTGTAGTGTTAGAATTCAGAGCTGTGCATTGCAATAGCATCTAGCAGAGTACAGCAAGGTGCTGTGATATTTGGCTACAAAAGTAAACCCTCATATAATAGTATAAGTAGACTCCTCTAGCATTCAGTAGTTTGTATGCACTGAAATGAGGGATGAGTCGTCGAGTGAAATTCCATTCAGCAAGGTAAGGAACAGTGAATTGATGTAAAGGACTCCTTCTCTGACATTTAGTGGACTAGAGTGCACTGGTGTTGAGCAGAGTTGCTTGGAGTGGAGTGTATTTCCACGACGAAAGACAGAGTAGAATAAAATAGATTAACATGCATAAAAGTAAATTGGCTCTAGATGCACCACATCAATGTGCTTGCTCACTTACTTGGTCATCTGAACAATGGGCATTGTTCCAAGGCGAACAAATCCTCTATCTTTCGTTCCAATAATACTTTTCACATGGAATCGCTCCATCAAATCAAAACCTGTTTGAATACACACCAGAAGTATATGACATTATGAAGATTGCTTTAAAAATAGTGCAAGTAAATTAAATTCCTGCCAGCAGCATAAAACAGCCCACAGGAAATCTGCAGCCAACATTTGACAAGACTAGAATCATCCCAGTGAAGGCTACAGAATGATAACAGACATTTCCTTTCACAGATTCATTTCCTGGATTCACTATCACTTTCATTTAGTTTGAAATTAAAAATCATGGCAATATTTTCCAAGTCTGTGTGAAATAAGATTTGGCACTGTGTTGAACAGGCCTGTTGATTCGATTTGGCACTTCTCGTGGAAATTAATTGCATTCCTCATATGATTTGATATTTTTTACAGTGCCTAAAACAATGGTATAAAACACATCTCACAGAACCATTACATTTGGTCCACTGTATGTTTTACTTATCAAGGGGATTTTACAGCATGGAAAGAGGCCCTTCGGCCCATTATGTCTGCACCAGTCATCAAAAATCTCTACTTTCATGCCAATTTCTTGCAATTGGCCCATAGCGTCATATGCTATGCTATTTCAAGTTTCTCTCTAAATAGTTCTTAAATGTCTTAAGGCTTTCTGTAACTACTACTCTTTCAGGCAATGAGGTCTGGATATCTACAACCCTCTGGGTGAAAAATCTTTTCCTCAAATTCCCCCTAACCTCCTGCTTTTTATCTTAAAATGGTGTCCCCTGGTTTTGACACCTCGAATAGTATAATCAGATCCCTATGGTGCAGAAAGAGGCCATTCAGCCCACTGAGTCTGGACCAATCATCCAAAGAGCATCCCACCCCAGACTGAGACCCCACCCTATCCCTGTATTTCTCATGGCCAATCTACGTCACCTGCGCATCCCTGGATACCGTAGACAATTTAGCATGGCTAATTCACCTAACCTGCACGTTTTTAGACTGTGGGAGGCAACGGGAGCACCCAGCAGAAACAGGGAAGATGTTCAAACTCCATATGGACAGTCACCCAAGTATGGAATTGAACCTGAGTTTCTGATATTGTGAGACAGCATTGCTAACCACTGAGCCACCATGACCAAGGGGAAAGGTTTCTCCCTATCCAGCTGTCAATGTCCCTCAGAAGTTTGCACACTTCACATAGATTCCTCCCCCCCCCACTCGCCTTTCTCTCCACTAAAGGAAATAACCCCAGCTTATCAGATTGCTATTCATTGTTGAATTCCATCCAGCCCAGGCAACATCCCGGTGAATATCTTCTGCAACCTTTCGACTGAAATCACATCCTTCCTACAGAGTGGTGATCAGAACTGCACACAGTATTCCAACTGTGGTATAACTAAATTTATATACATCTCCATTATAATGTCCAAGCTCTTGTCTAAAGTGCCTTGGCTAAAAAATGCAAGTATACCTTCCCAACCACCTTCAAGGATCTATGGGACATGTACATTGATGTACAAAACAAACAGAAAAATAAAGCTCCATACCTTTTGGTACACCACTGGATACAGGCTTCCAGGCACAAAAACATCCTTCAACTATTGCACTTTGTTTCTTGCTATGAAGCCAATTTTGGATCCATTTGCCAAATTTCCCTGAATCCCATGGGCTTTTAGGTTTTTAACCAGCCTGCCATGTGAGACCGTGACATCAATCGCCTCAACCTCTCCACCCCCTCACCACTCCAACCTCTTCCCCACAGAACGTGCAGCCCTCCACCCCCTCTGCTCCAATCCCAACCTCACCATAAAACCCGCGGACAGGGGAGGCGCAGTTGTAGTATGGTGCACTGACGTCTACATCGCCGAGGCCAGGTGCCAACTCTCCGACACCTCCTCCTACCGCCGCCTTGATCATGACTCCACCCCCGAGCACCAAACCATCATCTCCCAAACCATCCACAACCTCATCACCTAAGGTGACCTCCCACCCACAGCCTTGTTCCCCAACCCCGCACCGCCCGCTTCTATCTCCTTCCCAAAATCCACAAACCTGACTGCCCTGGTTGACCCATTGTCTTCGCCTGCTCCTGCCCCACCGAACTTATCTCCACCTATCTCGACTCCATTTTCTCCCCCTTGGTCCAGGAACTCCCTACCTATGTCCGTGACACCACCCACGCCCTCCACCTCCTCCAAAACTTCCAATTCCCTGGTCCCCAACACCTCATCTTTACCATGGACGTCCAGTCCCTATACACCTGCATTCCCCATGCAGATGGCCTAAAGGCCCTCTGCTTCTTCCTGTCCCGCAGGCCCGACCAGTCCCCCTCCACTGACACCCTCATCTGCTTAGCCAAATTCGTCCTTACCCTCAACAACTTCTCTTTCAATTCCTCCCACTTCCTACAGACAAAGGGGGTGGCCATGGGTACCTGCATGGGCCCAAGCTATGTCTGCCTCTTTGTAGGTTACGTGGAACAATCCCTCCTCCGTAGATACACTGACCCTAAACCCCACCTCTTCCTCTGTTACACTGATGACTGTATCGGCGCCGCCTCGTGCTCCCACGAGGAGCTCGAACAGTTCATCCACTTCACCAACACCTTCCACCCAACCTTAAGTTCACCTGGACCATCTCTGATACCTCTCTCCTTCCTGGACCTCTCTGTTTCCATCTCTGGCAACTACCTGGAAACCGATATCCATTTCAAGCCCACCGACTCCCACAGCTACCTAGAATACACCTCCTCCCACCCACCTTCCTGCAAAAATGCCATCCCCTATTTCCAATTCCTTCACCTCCGCTGCATCTGCTCCCAGGATGAGGCATTCCACTCCTGAACATCTCAGATGTCCTCGTTTTTCAAGGACCGCAACTTCCTCCCCTCAGTGGTCGAGAACGCCCTTAACCGTGTCTCCCGCATTTCCCGCAACTCATCCCTCTCACCCCCTCCCCGCAATAACAACCAAAACAGAATTCCCCTCATCCTCACATACCACCCCACCAACCTCCGAATCCAACGCATCATCCTCCGACACTTCCGCCATCTGCAATCCGACCCCACCACCAAAGACATTTTTCCCTCCCCACCCTTATCTGCTTTCCGGAGGGACCACTCTCTCTGGGACTCCCTTGTCTGCTCCAAACTCCCCTCTAGCCCCACTACACCCGGCACTTTTCCCTGCAACCGCAGGAAGTGCTACACCTGCCCCCACACCTCCTCCCTCACCCCCATCCCAGGCCCCAAGAAGACTTTCCACATCAAGCAGATATTCACCTGCACATCTGCTAATGTGGTACACTGTATCCGCTGTTCCCGTTGTGGCCTCCACTACATCGGGAAACCAAGCGGAGGCTTGGGGACGGCTTTGCGGAACACCTACGCTCGGTTCGCACTAAACAACTGCACCTTCCAGTCGCGAACCATTTCAACTCCCCCTCCCATTCCTCAGACGACATGTCCATCCTGGGCCCCCTACAGTGCCACAACGATGCCACCCGAAGGTTGCAGGAACAGCAACTCATATTTCACTTGGGAATCCTGCAGCTCAATGGTATCAATGTGGACTTCACAAGCTTCAAAACCTCCCCTCCCCCCACTGCATCCCAAAACCAGCCCAGCTTGACTCCACCTCCCTAACCTGTCCTTCCTCCCACCTATCCCCTCCTCCCACCTCAAGCTCCACCCCCATCTCCTACCTAGCCTCATCCCGCCCCCTTGACCTGTCCGTCCTCCCTGGACTGACCTATCCCTTCCTTAACTCCCCGCCTACACTCACCTTTATTGGCTCCATCCCTGCCTCTTTGATCTGTCTGTCTCCTCTTCATCTATCTTCTCCTCTATCCATCTTCTATCCGCCTCCCCGTCTCTCCCTATTTATTTCAGAACCTCCTCCTTCTCCACCATTTCTGAAGAAGGATCTCGGCCCAAAATGTCAGCTTTCCTGCTCCTCTGATGCTGCTTGGCCTGCTGTGTTCATCCAGCTCTACACCTTGTTATCTCTCTTCTCCAAGACTGTTCTTCACTCACCGAATTTCTTTTTAAGCAACCCAATGCATTTTTTATACTGCTGTAGGACTTCTGCTATTTTGAGCTTTGGTATCTCCTTTGGTATTTCCTTTATTTTTCTTATCTTATCCTGTATATCGCTTGACATCCAGGACTCTCTGCACTTGTTGGTCCCACCATTCACCTTCATGATAATACATTGGCCCTGCATTCTTATTATTATCCTTTTGTATGTCACCCACTGCCCTGATGTGGGTTTTCCTCCATGTAGCTATTTGCAGTCCATTTGGCCAGATCTAGGGTTCCTGAAGCTTGACTTTATAAACCTCTCCTGAAGCTTGACTTTATAAACCTGTGCCTAAGCTGTCTGGCTCTCAGTAAATATTGAGTCAAGCTTGCACTCACTTTATTCTGATAACATCAATATAATTGAATGAAATAACATCACAATGGTTCAGAGGATATTAATTGTAAATGGGTTAAGCACAAAACCACTTGCATTCATATTATCCGTGATCTTTTATGTTCGTTCACGATTCCATATGCTTACGTGAGATCCCATCCATGAAGCTGGCCATATTCCCAGATGCAAGTTGCATGATGATGCTCATTACACTGGTTTGGAAAGGATCCTCAAATTGTATTCACTTTCACAGGTGCATAGGCAGTAGTAGCCACATCTTATAAGCATTGATATGTCAAGACGCATTTTATTTACCAAGTTATAGAACTACACTGACAAAACTATTAAATAGTTCAGTGCATTTATTTTCAAGTAATTTCTAACAATTTTAAATCAGGTCACTCACATGTGGAGCACTGGACACCCTTGTTCAAACTGCTTCTTTTAGTGATATACCTATTTTAAGCTGTATCAATAAAACTAACCTGGTTACCTCTCCGAAACAATGAAACAACATTGTAGCTGATGAAAAGAAATAATTATGTTCTATTACGCTGGCCACTGATGCTTGTTCACAGAAAGTTTTAGGGTGGTGATTAAGCAAAGACCATAAAAAATAAGAACAGGAGTAGGCTGGTCAGTCCCTCGAGTCTTCTCAACCTTTCAGGTGGATCATAACTGAATCGACATTCCTCATGTCTACTTTCCTGGCCTTCCCCCAGAAACCTTGATTCCACTACTGATGAAGAATCTACCTATCTCAGCCTTTAATGGACGCAGCTCTCTGTGGCAAGAAGTTGCACAGATTCACAACTCTCTGAGAGGGTAAATTCCTCCTCATCTCAGTTTTAAATTGGTGCCCCTTAATTCTAAGACTATGCCACCTGTTCTTAGAATCTCTAAATTTTAATAGAAAATGCAACCTAAGCAGAGAAAATTCTGGTGAACTTTGAGCACAACATCCAAATTGCATCTAAGTCGGAAATTCTATACCCAATGTGTTATCCTATACATATTAATATTCTACCTCGGTTTCTTAGAAGCTCAGTTTGAAAATTCATAAGTTGTTGAGCATGTCAGTCAAAACTAATTGCAATGCATGGAGATATATCCACAATTCAGCTTTGCCATTCCTGCAAAGAAAATCACGTACCTGGGATGTTAACTGAAGCTTTATTTTCTAACTTGTACTGATTGCCTTCCAATCTTAAATTTGGGCATAGCACATCTGTTGAAACAAAGAATAAAATGTTACTGAAATTGTCATTATCGAATACTGTAATAGAACCTTATTATAAAGTACAACGACATTGCTCACTGGAAATAGGATTCAGACCAATATATCTTGTAATGTACAGTGTATTATCCTACTAATAACACAGGACTCTGCTTAAACTAAACTGTCTCTTTAGGACCACAATGAATGTTCTAAGCCTGATAGCGGGTGGTATATCATTGCATTAGTGGGGATCTTTTTTATTCATTCATGGAATATGGGTGTCACTACATGTCACAAGTTTTATTTCCTAGTCAAAAACTTCATCCTGTCTGTGGGGATTACTATTTGAGATTCACCACTTAGACTTCCTAGTTGACCCTGATATGAGCTTTTGACAACATATCTGCTAAATCACCAAGAGTTCTCACTTCTATCTCCACACCACCATTCACCATCAGCCCTAATTCAACTCTTGTGCCAATATCCCTTTCAAACTGACATGTCTCATGCTCGGTCTCCGATAATTACACCACCCATGAACTTGATCCAAAGCTCTGTTACCACTATTTTATATCATACCATATCCTGTTCACTCACTGTTCACTGTATGAGCCTCATGTTCATTGGTCTTCATTGGTTCTCTACTGTAAGAAAAACCATGGACTGCAAGAAGAAAGCACTGTTTATAAAAATAAGGTTTTACCAGGATGTCCGCATAATTTCACAGCAAGGAATTTGATGCCTGTTGTGAGCTTTTTTTGTGTGTGCGTGACTATAGGTTCCTGCAATGTTCATCAGGTGCCAAGGAGTTTTTTGTAAGTGAAGCTGACTGGATCTCAGGTAACCGAGCAGATTAGAAATGGAAACAACTTACAGAAACAGACACAGAAGGGAAAAAGATTTTAAAATGTGTGCTGTTGTCCTCCCCAGCAGAAGCTGTCTGTTGTTTGCAGTATAAAAACTCAGTTCAAACTTCAAGAAAATTGTTCATGCAGCTGTTGCTATGAGCATTGACTTTTGAATTAATAAATCAGACACATTTTACCTGGTCCAGCCTGCATTTAACTCCAGACTTATAGCAATATGATTAACTCTTAACTGCAGTCTGGGCAGTTAGCGATGAGCAACTAATACTATCCTAACTAATGAGACCCACTTGCCATGAATGATTAAAAAACAAACCTCTAAAATTCTCCAGTTCTGGACACACGTGTATCATTGATTTTAATTGTTTCACCTTAACCTTCAGCTGCTGAAGCCATCCTAAGCTCTGGAGTTCCCAACTTAAACCTCTCTTTTTTTAAAAAATATATTATTGAGGCATGTACATGGGTACAGTGAAAACATTCACTTTGTGTACAGTACAGGCAAACCTTACCATACAAAGTGCATAACGGTAATAAAACAGAGAGATGAATACAATGTTACAGTTGCAGAGAAGGGGCACAAACAGCGAGATCAACATTCAATTTAAAATTTGAGTGGTCCATTTAAAAGTCTGATAACAGTGGGGAAGAAGCTGTTCTTGAATCTGTTGATATGTGTATCTAGGCTTTTGCACCTTCTGCCCACCCGGAAGAGGTTGGAAGAGATTATAACCTGGGTAGGAGGGGTCTTTGCTGATGTTGGCTGCCTTCCTGAGGCAGCGAGAAGTATAAGTGGAGTCAATCGATGGAAGGTTGGCTTGCATGAGGGACTGGGTTGTGTTCAAAACTCTCTGTAGTTTCTTATGGTCCTGAGCAGAGCAGTTTCCATACAAAGCCATGATGCATCTGAATAAAATGCTTTCCATGGTGCATCTATAACAATTGGTAAGAATCTTTACAGACATGCCAAATTTCCTTAGCGATCTGAGGAAGAAGAGGTGTTGTTGTGCTTTCTTGACTGTAGCATCAACGTGAGTAGACCAGGACAGATTGTCAGTGATCATCACTTCTAGAAACTTGACGGTCTGGACAGTCTCCACTTCAGCACAATTAATGAGACAGAGACATGGCCAACATCTTGCTTCCTGAAGTCAATTGCCAGCTCTTTCATTTTGCTGACATTGAAGGAGAGATTGTTGTCTTTACACCATGCCACCAAGCACTCAATCTCTTTCCGGCATTCGGTCCAATTATTGTTTGAGATCTGACCTACAACAGCGGTGTCGTCAGCAAACTTGTAGATGGAGTTAGGACGAAATTTGGCCCCACAGTCATTAGCACACAGGAAGTATAATAAGGGGCTGAGCACACAGCCTTGCAGGGCGCCTGGTGTTGAGGTTTATCATGGAGGAGGTGTTGTTGCCTATTCTCACTGATTGTGGTCAATGGGTCAGGAAGTTGAGGATCTGGTTGCAGAGGGTGGAGCAGAGACCTAGGTCTCAGATTTTGGAGAATAGTTTGTTTGGAATTATGGCACTGAAGATGGACCTGTAGTGAACGAGTAGGAGCATATCCTAGATATCCTTGTTATCCAGATGTTCCAGGGATGAGTGTAGGGCCAAGGAAATGGCGTATTTCACTGACCTGCTGCAACAGTAGGCAAATCGCAAGGAATTGAGGCAGACTGGGAGGTCAGAATTGATGTGAGCCATGACTAACCTTATAGAGTCGTAGAGTTGTAGAGATATATAACATGGAAACAGACCCTTCAGTCCAATCTGTCCATGCCGACCAGTTATCCTAAATAAACCTAGTCTGATTTGTGAGTATTTGGCCCATATCCCTCTAAAATCTTCCTGTTCACATACCCATCCGGATGACTTTTAAATGCTGTAATTGTGCCAGCCTCCATCACTTTTTCTGGCAGCTCATTCCATACACGCACCACCCTCTGCGTCAAAAGGTTGCCCCTTAGGTCACTTTTAAATCTTTCTCCTCTCATCTTAAACCTATGCCCTCTAGTTTTGGACTTCCCCACCCCAGGGAATTTACACTATTTACACTATCCATGGCCCTCATGATTTTATAAACCTCTATAAGGAGACCCCTCAGCCTCCAACACTGCAGGGAAAATAGCCCCAGCCTGTTCAGCTTATCTCTATCACTCAAACCTTCTAAATTATGGAGGTCAGGGTGACAGGGCAGTAGTCATTGCAGCGCGTTGCATGAGTTTTTTTTGGCAGTGAAATGATGGCAGTTTTCCTGAAGCAATTGGGGACTTCAGGTTGTAGCAAGAAGGGGTTAAAGATCTTAGCAAATACTTCCCCAGCTGGTACATGCAAAATCTGAGCATACAGCCAGGGACTCCATCTGGGCCAGTCGCTTTCTGTGGGCTCAGTCTCAAAAAAGACCAATCTGATGTATGCAGCGGTGACTGAGGGGCAGGTGCATCTGAGGCTATAGGGGCAGGTGATTGACTTTGTGTTCGAAATGATCGTAAAATGCTGTGTGTACATCGGGGAGGATGTATTTTTGTTCGTTCGTCTGTTCTGCTTTGCTTTGTAGCCCATTATGTCATGTAGGCTTTGCCACAAGCAGCGGATGTCCATCTGGTTAGTTTGGGGCTCTAGCTTAATCCCATATTGCCTCTTGGTGTCTCTAATGGCGTTACAGAGATTATATCTGGATTTCCTGTAAAGGTCAGGGTCATCTAACTTGAACACTAAAAATCTGCACTTCAGTAGATAATGGATCTCCCGGTTCATCCATGGTTTCCATTCAGGGAGTATTCAGATTAACGTCTTTGGCACGCAGTCTTCTACCCACTAATGAAGTCCTTGATAGTGGTGGCATACTCATCTAGGTTGGCTGCTGAGTTCTTGAATAAATCCATTTCTCTAAGATGCCTCTCAAAGTCTCTCTCTTTGATCAAGCATTTGGTTACCTGACCTAATGTCTCCTGACAGCTCAAACCTTATTTAAGTTCCCTTCAAGCAGCCTGTTATGTTTGATTACGTTAGGCATTTTATTTAAGTGCATGCTGCTGTAACAATAAAAAAGGAGGGTAAAGAAATGCAATTGCTGAAGTAGCAAAACATATTAATTCACATCAGTAATATACCATTGGAGACTGCATAATTACTTCGGTTCAATACTGTATTTTGTTTCAAGATAATTATCAACAGATGCTACTCTCTTGGGTTTTACACTAGAAATTGTTGTTGAGATGCCTATGTCTGGGGATCACTTCTAAAATGAATCCTCACTTGAGCCTAGGATTCATTTTACGCAACCACTTAAACTGAGTCACATCTCTTCTTAGATTGGCAATGTCATCAATTCTATGAATTTAGGTGTTTTATTTACACTATGAGGAGCAACAGATGGACAGAAACAAACATCTGCATTTTGTGTTATAGTCTAACAGATTAAGTGTTAATTGGTATGCTCCTTTCCAACAGTACCTTCCCTGTTAGAAAGCATTGTGATGCTCAACAAGTTTTCTGCTGATTTGTGTTGACATCTAATAATGTTAATTCTTCAAACACGTACCAACAACATCTCTACTTCCTCAGGAGACTAAGGAAATTTGGCACGTCCAGCAAGGAGTCTTACCAATTTTTATAGTTGCACCGTAGAAAGCATTCTATCTGGATGCATGACAGCATGGTTTGGTAACTGCTCTGTCCAGGATCATAGGAAATGACAGAGAGTTGTGAACACAGCCCAGTCCATAAACAGAAATCAGCCTTCCATCCATTAACTCTATTTATACTTCCCACTGCCTTGGGAAAGCAACCAACATAACCAAAGATCCCTCCCACCCTGGTTGTATTCTCTTCTACCCTCTTCCAGGTGGGCAGAAGATATAAAAGTTTGTATACACGTACAAATAGATTCAAGAACAGCTTCTTCCCTGCTGTTACTGGGCTTTTGAATGAACCTCTCAAATTTTAAATTTAATGTTAATCTTGCTCTGTGTGGACCTTCTCTGCAGCCATAACATTGCATTCTTTGCGCTGTTCTATTACCCTATGCACTTTATATGGTCCACCTGTACTATACCCAAAACAAAACTTTTCACTGTACATGGGTGCATGCGATAATAATAAATCAAATCAAATACGTGAAAATCAACACTGA